TATATTCATATTCACATATTTTCACATATTGTTTCTATAAAAATAATACTGTGCGGGTTCAAAGATGCTTTCTCGAGATTTGTCAAACAAGTGCAACCCAGTATTTAATATAATGTGCTTATTCAAAATTTGAATTGTTGGTTTTATTTGGCGGCATTGAAATGAAATAATTTCAATATATAAAATCTCGCCCGCGCAAATTCAAATTTTAACAGCCACATGTTCAGGCTAATACAGCCATAAGATATAAAAATGAAATATAAATAGGGTCGATAGACGTTATAATTATGTGATATAAAGAGTAATAATACATACCTGAGATCAATAAGCCTTTAGCAGGACTTAGAGTCACATATCAAATCGAAATATAGCTTTTCTTCAGCGAAATATAGCTTTTCTTGAGCGAAATATATCCAAACGAAAAAATCGAAAATTTGCAAATCACACCATAGCCACAGATGAGGTAGGTACAAAGGCAACTTTTGTCTGATTGGTCAGTTTTCAGCAATGGTTTACTTGCAGAAAATTTACTTCCGGTTCGAAGGCTCCAAATTTTAACAAATATTTATTTGACAAGTGAAACGGGAACGGAAAACCCGATTTTCTTCTGTTCATTCTAAAATCAACAGTATCTGATGCAATGAGTATTTATCTGTCATACACATGAGTTTTGTGGGCTTCGATGGAGTTTTTCAACCTTTTAATCGCGATTTGTGTCGAGTCCTTCCAACATACAACTTCGCGTGTGGGCATGTTGATGAAAGGCTTGTCGTTTTGTTTGTTTTAATTTCAAAGAAAGATAGTTAAGACGGCTAACTCAGCATGTGATATTGGTGGAATATGATTTGTTGTGTGGGCCTAAAGTTGGGTTGAAGAAGGTGGTATTACAGGAAAACAAGACACTTGTTTGAAGGATATGGTTTTTGAACAAGGACTGGCAAGACTCATGCACATGCTTCAACTGCGCTTATTTAAAGACGTGGCTTGCATCTGATCTGTTCAGAAATTTACATGCTTCGTCAACTAAGGTAAGTTATTTCATATACGTACTGTCAAAATATGAAAATATTTTTACTCAAAGTTATCGACTTATATTTGCAAAATTAGTTTTAGTCAAGCAGGCCTTTTCAATATCGACTCAATCGCACTAAAATAGCTACACAAATGTAAGTAGGTTGAGTTACGGGAATTCCCTCAAAAGACATTTAAATATTGTCTTAATGCTTCAGAAACGGTAGTTAGATTTTTAATCGATCTTGTATGTCGAGTAGGATGCTGGTTTGAAGCCCGCGCGTGCGTTTTCAATGGTAAAATGTGATCGGAACTTCGTCCTGTGTTTGACGCCTTAATATAATATCGCTCCACTATGGAAATTTGGCAATAAGTTTACTTTAATATAAATATTACTACTTCAAGTTTTTGAGGGCAAAGTTTAATAGGTTTCTAGCCAATAGATAATTTAAACAAAAGTTTGTTGGAAATAGAGATAGCGAAGAGATGCAAGTTTACAACTCGAGAAATTTTCGTCGCTTGTAAACAAACAAGGCCGAGTTACGGAAAATGGTTTCCTGGTATTGTTTTTCAAGTCACAATCTTTAAGTAAATGTTTTAAGTTTATTTCCTGACCTTGCGATGCATTTGCGGTTTGGCCTCAAACTTTGACATTTGTTTTACTTTCAACGAGTGTTCGAATAGCTGACGACAACTAGCTTCGAAGGCAAGGATATAGTCGTATTTTCGAATGTTTTTGGAGCAAAATTAATTTGTATAACGTTCGTGTCGGTTCGTTTTGAGGTGTATTTTGCCGCGCGCCAGTGACCAAAATATGTCTTTCCCAATAGCCCAGTATACATTTATAATTCATAAGAAAATAAACATATTTTGAGATTATTTTTATTGTAAAAACCTAACTAAAGTACAGGTGATGTTTGAAAAGGTTAAAGTTCCTCGTACCGGACCCAGCCGAGGCCATCGGCGGAACTCAACCCAATCAAACTCACTTTGGGTTAAATGACAAAGTTAAATTGCTAGCTTTACCACGAAGAAATGTATGCTAAAACGTATCCAGTAAAGATATACCATTCTAATGGTTACATGACAATATTTTTAGGCATTCTTATTGTCGCCTGTGCAAGCAAGCAATGGCATGTAACCATGTCATTTCTAACTAGCCTATACAAGTATAAACTAAAGACTATTTTACACAGTTTTCTATAAATAGTAGAGTAAATAAACAATTGCTATGAAAAAGTTTGCAAATCAAATGCATTGCAACAGATAATTGACCTACCCAGACTTATATAGACTATGTAAAACTATAAACAAGGTACAATACACCAGTACACATTCCCCATCTATTAAATTAACCTGTCCCTTATAAATGACTAAACTATGTTGTTGTACACTGGATTTGCATGTTCTCAAGCCATTGTTTATTTATATGTATAAACTGTGCATTTTTAGCATGAAATTGTTTGTCCAAAATATTGTGTTTCAACCTGCCCATCTTATCTCACATGAAATACTATATTATTATCATTTATAATTATAAAATCTTGAGTCGTGCAGGTTTGGGTGCACCCATGACAAGAGGAGTATCATGTCAAATTGTGGTCTTATTCCACCCTCTTGACAAGTGCCCTAGCTTACACTACACCTAATCTGCCCCACTTTTTTGCGAAGGGGTTTTGGATTTCACATTTGTGCTACTAATAATGCACAGTTTCCTGAAAAAAAATGTGCAAATACCAAAAATTTTACTAATTAAACCACATTTTATACTAGTTTGTGAACTAGATTTGCTGATTTGTTGAAATATAACTGTCACCGAACTTAAAAATCAACTGTGCTTATAATGAAAGTGTCCTACCAAGCTAAGCTTAATTAATTTCAATCCTCATGAATAGTAATTAGTAACTTTGATTAGTAACTTCGATGTTTTGAGCAAAGCCCTTACCAAATCATTTGATTAAAGTTAGACTGACATAAATATTATGTTGATTTTGTCCTAGCTATTGTCAAATATAATTGAATGTGGCTTAAAAAAGTATAATCAAAGTATTAAACTGCACATTCTACCACTTTAATACAATATATAATCATGCATGGGGGTACCCTGCCCACCTAATTAGTTGGGAATATAGTGAATAACCAAATTTGCCTTTTCTCTTGTAATTATAGTAAGTTTCAATATTAATAGGAAATCTTTAAATTTACATGCTAGCATCACTTCAGTTTTACAATTGTTACATCAAAAGGTGGCTGCACTGTGGGTCCCCAGTCTCGGAGAATCATTTCTTGAATATAATTTACCATGTAATGAAGTTGATTATCAGAAGCAGTAGCGATAATAGCACCAGTATCTAAATGTGAATGACTATCTATTAGCATACTTTCACCAAGTTCATTAAGCAATAATGTCATTGATTTATCAGGTGAAAAAATGAGTACAAAAGCTAATTTCACTCTGGCCAAAGACAACATTTGCAATTCTAATAAGAAGTCAACAAAATTATTGAATTGATATTCCTCTACTCTTTCAGCAACCTCTGCCAATCCAAGTTCTGGATGTTCAATAATCTCTGGTGCACAATAATTGAGTTGGCTTTCATCAAGGTTGTCATACATCTGGTTTCCTTCAGTAAATAGTTGGTAGCAGTAAGCAAGGAAGGTGGAATCCAGTGTAGCAAGGAGGTTGTGTTGAGAAAACCATGCAGTATCGGAGAGGAAGTTAATAGCAATTAACACAGCAATGATGGTACATGCGTTACTCCCCAATGCTTGGCTATCTATGTTGGATTGACAGAAAGATAAAATATACTCTTTAACATGACTAACATTGTTAAACTTAACAATACTATATGGTATAATAGTCTCAATAGGATTCTGTTGCGATATGTGCCATATGCATGTACATGGCTTGCGACGTCCATGAGCTGAACATAAGTTGTTTGGACACATGGGACATTTAGCATTAGCAGATCCCTTGCCATGCCCTTGTCTTGTATGATGGCATGTTGAGCAATGTGGAGATCTCTTAGGTGGTTCAACATTTGCTAGTAAAGTAGATCCTCTATCATCACACTCTGAATTATTATCAACAGATAAGCATGAACTATTAGTGGGCGACTCGGGCCTCAATTGCATAATAGATAAATTAATAGTATTTAGCATATTTTCAATATTTGATTCATTTGTAGACACTCCTAAGTTGTCATATTCCATTTCATCATCACTGTCATCATCAGTGTCTGAGCCTGATACTTGCTCATTATCATTTTCATTATCATCACCACTTCCCCCATTTACAAAAGAAGTGTTAGCTGCTACTGATAAAGATAAAATAACATTATTTAAATGGTTAGAACAAATTGGACAATAGGCCAGATCTTTCAAGCATTCTTTATGGAAGGAATGCCAGCACCCTTCAAATATTTGCCACTCTGCATCTTCAGGTGCCACACATATATAATCACAGCGACTGTTTACATCTGGCTTCTTGTCACATTGAAAACCCAGTGGCAACATATAGCTCTTGACCGGTTTCTCACCAAATAATGTGGGAAGTATGTACATTGTGCAGTCCAGTGCTTGACCTTTAGATCTTGGCAGAGAATATGATTCACCAGGACTTGAGCAAATTTTTGAAAAAATAGAAACTAGAATTTTAGCTACTCTAGTATGTAAATACTTTAATTGAACACGACTAAATACATAGTTTCGTTCTGGAGTAAATGTGTTGCGAAAATTCTCTTGGCGTGGCCCACAACCAAAGATTGCTTTCATTGTATCACTCAAGGTTTTCTCAGATGCACCATCAGTTGTGTGTCTTCGAATAACAGAGTGAACATATTCTACAACTGACTCGTCAATAATATTTAAATTATTCTTAAAAACATTAAATATATCACTACAAAATGCATTACCTTCCCAGTATTTAACCAGAAATAGCCATATTAAGAGAGATTTCCTATAATGATGACGTCTAAAACAGTACATCATTACCCACATTCGTATAATAGAGTCATAATAATCAGAGAAGTTATTAGTCTTAAATAGAATATTGTATGAACATAAGACTGTAGGACAATAATTGTCTAAGAAATTAATTAGTGTACCATACTGTAAGTCCTTACACTTGTGAAAAACAGCTTTCACACTTCTTCTGATCAAAGTCCATCCTCCATAAAGTATCTCGAGAATGAACTGTATTCTCCAGGGTTTTGGCTTTACTGCAAGAATTCTGTTTGGGAACAATGACTCATACAAAGATTTAATGAATGGGTGGTAATTCAACACTAAATCCTCATCGGCATTTAAATCAATATGTAGAGGTCCAATTAAAGGAACAAGAGAGAGTAGCTCTTCTTGTGTTACTGGCATGTTCAAGGTTATATTCATGAGGTATTCAGAGAGTATTCCATACACAATTTGTCTAGGAAAAAACTGACTGGGGTGGTCACCAGGAAATAATACAACAAATTTAGATAAGTATTCTCGTAACTTGTCTAAATTGAAAACTCTAGTAAGAGCTTCCATGTAATTACTTTTTGACTTCAAAGGCTGCATGAAGAAGTCAACTAAAAAAACATTCTTAAATTTCCTCATGTAACTTACATCAGTTGAAGCACCATAATCATGTGTTTCCAAACGCTTCCTCTCCAATAGTGGGTCGAAGAAGGAAGTTGTCAACTCTGGCATGCAAGAGGCAAAGGTACAGCTTAACTTCACCATCTGCTTCTCGGAACATATCTCATTAGCAAGATCGTGTGGCTTAATTCCATCTCGGCTGTGTAAGAACTGAGGAGGTGGACGAGTAATTGCTTTTATTTCTGGAAAAACTTTAAAAATAATGGTACACATATTGTTAGCCTGAGATGTTTTAAGACCTTTAGGCCTTCGGGTTGAATGAATGGTGGTATAATCATCAATCATTAGTAGTAGCAGTTTTCTATTCTTGATGGCATCATCCAAAGCAGAAATAACATTAGTCATATTAGCAGATGAATAATTATGGAGAGCTCTATCAATAGTCATGCTACAAGTACTAGTACCAACGACCCGCTGAGTATTCAACCCTTGGTTAGTACAGTGCGAAAGCTTCAACAAAATACCATTATCAACCTGAAAAAGTGAACACTTCTGTGATAATGCAAAGCAAAGTTGAAGAATTATTGATACTGTGCGCTTCTCATTTAGGCATTTTCTCGCTCTTGTATGGCGGGAACTGGTCATACAAGCAGAAATAAAATTAAATAAATGAGGGGCACCATGGTTATGACAAAACAATTTAAATCTTTTTGGGTCATAAATTGGCATAACCTTTGTCTTAGCATACTCTGACAAGTATGCCTGTTGAAAGTTCTCAACCTCTTGAACTATTTCTGCACCTGAAAGAAAATAATTTATATTAACCCATTGAAGTGCAGCAGCACTCTCCCCTAATGAGTATTATATCTGGTGTTTATAGAAAGAGTAAACCACGAAACTTTTACAGAATAACTACATGTACTAACCAGAAACAGTGAGGTATGAGCTTGAACTTTGACTGCTTGTTTCTGTGTGAGTAAAAAAAGTCAAACTTTAAAATACATGCCACATACACATGGAGCAACAAATACAAAAAATAAATGATAACGAAATGCACATACCTCCTTCAGAGATACCAGTGGTCAATTCAGTTTGTGTTTCTGCGTGAACACCAATAGTTTTCAAACATGCTCGTACTTGACGTGCATAACAAGGCCTACAAATGCACTTTTCGCGTATACCAGGGTTTACAAAACCCGAATTCGCCGACTTTTTTCCGCAAACACAACAGGGAAATACAGACCTCATGCTACTGCAGTAAATAGTCCTTAAAAAGACTGTTAAAAACTATATAAAATGTAGTTTAAAACTCTGAGCAACAGAAGTCCGAAGTACACCAACAAAAAGTTGAATGAATTTTCCCGCCACAGGCTCTTAACATATGAAGGCAACATTACAAATATGGTATCAAACGTAAAATAAAGTGCGTAACCATTGGTTGTTTTTTTAAAGACCAAAAGCAAATTGTAGCCATTACTGCACGACATGACCCAAGGCCGAAGAAAAATACAATTACGTGTGATCGCCTCGATTCCTGACATAATAGAACAAAATACACACACAATCATCCCAATATTGATAGACTTTAAAATTCCTTCTTCTGAAGATCTTTAAAATAATATTTCCATCAATATTTGCAGTATTTTAACAGTAATTCGAAAGAACACACACAATTTACTCTCCTTCGGCCTTCGGCCATCTTGTGATTTCCATAGCAACCGGGCAATTACGTAATCTTAAAAACTGACCAATCAGACAAAAGTTGCCTTTGTTGGTAGGTACAGATGTGAATCTTCCGTCAAATTGCTGATTGTTTTGTGTCACACGGAATTCTCACTTCCGGCGAGCGCTGGCAAGTGTCGTTCTGAAATTTAATAAGGAAAGAGATAGGAAAACGCCGTTCGAATGACGAAAAATTGTTTTTTTAAAAAATCTACGCTACCGACGGCTATTTTTGGAATTAATTCTTCAAGAGTATCGGTAAGCGATCACTTTTATTGATTTC